AGACCTTTTTATCGACATGCTATACTAAGTAATTTTAACGACATGCTATTCTAAGACGTTTTTAATGACGTTATACTAAGATGTTTTTATCGACATGCTATACTATATCGTTTTTATGACATGCATTACCATGACATTTTTAACAACATGGTATAATATGATGCTTTAATAACATGCTAAACTAAGATGTTTTTAGTGATATGCTATACTGTTGTTTTTACGACATGTATTACCATGACGTTTTTAACAACATGTTATACTATGACATTTTTACCACATGCTACACTATGCTGTTTTTTAAGATATGCTTTATGTTGATGTTTTTTATGACACGCTATACTAAGACGTTTTTAACGACATGCTACACTAAGACGTTTTTAGCGACATGCTATATTAAGATGTTTTTAACGTCATGCTATATTAAGACATTTTTAGTGACATGCTATATTAAGACGTTTTTGATGACATGCTATACTGTGGCATTTGTACCATATAGTAGAGTATTACGTTTTTGACGACATGCTATAGAATGACGTTTTTATCACATGCTTTTGGTTGTTGTTTTTTACGACATACTATTCTAAGACTATTTTTGTGACATGCTATACTAACCAATTTTAACAAAATGCTATACTAAGACGTTCTTTACAACATGCTATAGAATGACGTTTTTTAAAACATGCAATACTATCATGTGTTTAATGACATGTTATACTATGAGGTCTGTATGACATGCTACACTAAGAAATTTTTAGCGACATGCTATACGATGTCGTTTTTTACAACATGCAATACTATCATGTGTTTAATGACATGTTATACTATGAGGTCTGTATGACATGCTACACTAAGAAATTTTTAGCGACATGCTATACGATGTCGTTTTTATGACATGCATTACCATGACGTTTTTAACTACATGGTATAATATGATGTTTTACACAACATGTTATACTGTGGCATTTTTGCAACATGCTATACTATGACATTTTTATCACATGCTATAATTTGTTGTTTTTTACAACGTGATATACTAAGACGTTTTTAGCAACATGCTATACTAAGCAATTTTAACAACATGCTATACTAAGACGTTTTTATCGACATGCTATAATTTGTTGTTTTTTACGACATGCTATAGAATGACATTTTTTACGACATGCTATAGAATGACATTTTTTACTACATGTTATGCTAAGACATTTTTAGCGACATGCTATACTGAGTAATTTTTACGACATGCATTACCATGACGTTTTTAACAACATGGTATAATATGATGTTTTTAAGAACATGCTATACTGTGGCGTTTTTCCGATGTGCAATACTATGACATTTTTAACATGTTATACTAAAACATTTTTACCACATGCTAGACTATGTTGTTTTTTAAGACATGCTTTACGATGACATTTTTTACGACATGCTATACTATGACATTTTAACGACATGGCATACTATGGCATTTTCCCGACATGCTGTACCATGACGTTTTTACCGACATGGTATAATATGACGTTTTTTGACGTACTTTGGTGTTTTTACGACATGCTTTACTATGGTTTTATTTCGACGTGCAAAACTATGATGTTTTTACCACATGCTATACTATGGTTTTATTTCAACATATTATAACACTGGGGTTTTTGCAACATGCTATACTATAATATTTTTAACAACATGATATATTATGGAGTTTTTCCGACATGCTATGCTATGTTGTTTTTATGACATGCTGTAATATGACGTTTTTTGTGAAATTCTATACTACAACGTTTTTACGACATGTAATATATCATAAATACATACACTATCACATAAATTAACATTTAGTACACACATGTCTTTGTATGTATATCTGCCATACAACAAACAATACATACTTACATAGATACAAAGATACATAAATAGATACATGGTTAAATACAAACATATTTTTCAGAAGATTGATACATTGAAATAAACCGATAGATACATATGATACTTACATTTTTACTTACATAGATACAAAAATATATACCGATACATACTCACATACTCACATACAGACATACCTGTATATGTATAAACATATATACACAGTAGGGATGTCATGAGAACCAATACTTTGGTACCAAGTTGATGTCAAAATTCTTACATTACTTAAAGTATCAAACATTTATTTTATAACTGGAGATGTGAGTTTTCCTGGATGGACCAATAACACCAAGTGTCACAACAAGAGAAGAAGAAGACAGGCATATTAAACAATAATGTCTCAGACTTTTGTACCTACATATATACATAGAAACATCCACATATACATAAACAAACATACATAGATCCATACATACAGTACATAGTTACATACAGTATCTATTAGCAGTTTTGAGTCTGACTGTGTGGATCCCACCTCAGTGTTCTTTCAAACTGGCACTGTTTAACAAATACATGAAAATTATAATACACAAAGACATGGAAGAATTATAGGAATCATATTTTACATAAGATGAAATGAATTAAGATGCAGTAAAACTACAGATAAACATGAATTAAAATCTAGATTTAGAAGCTGAATGTGAAGATGTTTTTGAAGTTTGATGTCCAGTGTTTATGTTATGCCTCATTAGTAAGACAAGCCTCCACACTCCTTTATCTCTCGCTTCATTTAAAACAAGAGATGGTTTGTGTTAAACCATCGCAGCCTTAAAAACGAACAACATTTAAGCTTTAAACCTTGACAGGAGGACAGTATACAGATGCTAGAATAGATGTAATGTGCTCTTTTTTACTTCTTCATGTTTTTACACATTTTACTTCACCTTTATTCATATAGGGACAGTGATAGAGTGACAGGAAAGTTGGGAGGAGAGAGGGAATTACATGCAGCAAAGGGCCATGGGTTGGACTCGAACCCATGGTAAGGACTGACCCTAAGTGGTACACGCTCTACCAGTTGAGCCACGGAAGCGCCCCACTTCTTTTATTTATATATCTATTTTATTTATCATCTGGCAGCCTCTCGCGTCACAGCGAGATACTGTTATCAAAAAAGAGTGGCTGGGATGAGGAGGAGCTCATTAGCAGGAGTTTATACTGATAATCTGAGATCAGGGCTTGTTTCAACATGAGATCATGTTTATGCTCTTATTTTGACAAAGATAGAAACTGATATCATGATCCTGTCAGAGCCTATATCACAGCACTGTAACCAAGACGTGACTGCCTGGAAGTGATGGCCGCTAGTCTGCAGGAATATGAGGCTGGCGTCTGTCTGTGTGTATGTGTGTGTGTGTGTGTGTGTGTGTGTGTGTGTGTGTGTGTGTGTGTGTGTGTGTGTGTGTGTGTGTGTGTGTGTGTGTTGGTGGGGGTGGGGGGTGGGGGCTGGAGTCTCTCTGATGGTTTCCAGGAAAATGAAACCAAGTTACTACTCTGACTTCCAGACACTCATTCCCTTTAATATCCTCAATAAATAAACCTCAGTGTCAGTCATCAGTCATCTTTGTTTTTAATCTTTTCAATGATCAGAATCAATATGTTTATCCAGAGTCATAGAATTTATTGAATATGAACCATTTGGTTAACATTTTGTTGTAGTTGCTGTGAAGTCTTGAGTAATGGCTAAAACGTGTTTTCTGAAGTCACACTGACCTTTGACCTATAGCTATTAAAATCTAGTCAGTTTCTCCTTGAGTACAGGTGAATGTTTGTGCCAAGGTTTCGTCAAGGTGTTTCTGAGATATCGTGTCCAGGAGAATGAGATGAATAGATTTATTCATATATTGATAACACTCGTATCTATTGGTATTGGTGTGATTATTTCCACTGTAATAATTAATGATTAACAGCAGATATGATAACACCATTACCTCTGGGTATAACTCTTAATATTTTCACTGTCACGATTAACAATCAACAGTGTATACTGCTGTCCGTTATTTAAAAACAGGAGAAATGAATGTGAACTAGTTGATTTTAACCTGTGAGAAGTGAACTGTAGCTCTGTCAAGTGTGAACTCGGTCTCAGCCGGCTAAAACTCTCTCTGCTCTGGAGGTGTGAGTTTGTCTCAGTGTGACCTGAGTTTAGTAAACCATTAAACAGAGATTACAGAACAATAAGTGTGTTTGTGTATAAGTGTGAGTCACACACACAGCTCTGTGTTGGTGCAGAATGTGTTTATGATTTTAAATGAGGAAACTCCCTCTCACTCTGATTCTGTCGTCGTCACTTTGTGAACTTTTACTGCGTTCCTCTGTTTCTAATCTTTCTCTTGGTTGTTGTTTTTCCTCGTTCAGTCAGAGACGTTTGTTCCAAGGAACTTTTATAATTAAGTGATTAAAATCCTCCTTCAGCAGCAGATCAAACTATGAACTCATGAGAAAACGCTGAGCAGCAGAGAAAGTGACAAACAGCTTCGTTAAGTTTAAAGAAACAGCTCGTCTGTTTCGTCCGTGATATCTGATGGATCATTAATGAGTAAACACTGTTTTTGGTTCTACTGTTTCTATCATGTTCTACTGATGGTTTTAAACGTGGGTCACTGTTGTTGTTGTTAGTTTTACTGTTTGTTTTGATCTTAATTTACATCAATGCTTCACATGATGATGTCATGTTTACATGAGAGCCCAAACACAAATGTAATATATGTACATATATTACATTTTCATATATGAGATATACGTATTTATTTTATATGTAAATATATGTAAAAAATTATATATCGAGCCAATACAGATATATACATTAATGTATGTTGATATAATAAACAGTGTGTAGCTCTGTGTGTGTGTGTGTGTGTGTGTGTGTGTCTAGTGACCTAAGCAGTTGTATTGAATCTGGCTTCTCCTTTTGAAATGTTTCTCTGAACTGGACCACACACACCTACTGCTCCTGAGGCTTCGGTCCCGCCGTGTCCCCCCGCCCACCCCGTGCCTAGCCCCCTTCCGGCCCCATCGCCTGCCCCCGGCCCCCCTCCCCTCTGTGTGTAGCTGGAACAAAACAAGAAGCAGAAAGTGTCTGTTACAAGTTTATTCACTGGTCGGTGACCCAGACTGTCACTTCACACAATACTGTTTACATTCAGTTACATCTTCATCACCTGCCTCATCTTCATCCCCTGCCTCATCCTCATCACCTGCCTCATCTTCATGACCTGCCTCATCTTCATCACCTGCCTCATCCTCATCACCTGCCTCATCCTCATTACCTCTCTCATCTCACTTCCTGTGTTCCACCTTAAATGAAGCCAATCCTCTGACTCTGGAACAGAATCACTGACCTGTAGCTTATTACAACATTTCATTAATATTTGAATACAGAAGATTCAGCAGGTTTGTTCAATATGAACATTTCTTCTGTTGCGTTAAAGATTTCTTTAACGACTCAGCTGCACCAGAACATATTTCAATAACATTAATTAATACCCATAATGCACTGCAAAACAAGTTTTCCTGCAGTCCTGCAATGATTCAGTCTCTCTGTATATACAGTATATAAATATATACTGTTTCTATATGTATATATCTCCTATTTCCACATGGAACATGTTTCCTTTGATCAAAATAATTCGGCTCCTTCTTGTTTTAAGTAAATAAAACTTATATAATAAGTTACATTATAAGTTATATAATAATGAAACATTTAAACTGCAGCATGTTCATAAATAAATACACGCGTAAATAAATAGATATTAACAAGTGTAAATAAAAGTGTCCAGGACTTTCAGTCCAGAAGCTCGTCCTTCACCGCTCATTGTTCCGTGCACAGTGTCCCGGCCAGCCGGTCCCAGTGGGTGAAGTAAGGGGCGTAGTTGTACTTGGACTTGAGGTGGTGGAGGTCATGGTGGCGGGCACCCCCGTACAGCCCCAGCGGCACCAGACGGTGGGTGGCCCAGGGCAGGTCGTAGCCGCAGTGGTCCTCCACCGACAGCCAGATGTTGAGCAGGAAGAAGGCCAGCTCGGTGAGGGGGTGGGCGCCCAGCAGGAGGGGGTTGGCGGCAGCGAAGAAGCCCAGGCAGAGAGTCTCCCAGGCCCCGGAATACTCAGTGGTCAGGGCGGAGGTGGAAGTGAAGGTGTGGTGCACCTGAGGAGCAGGAGAAGAAGAAACATGAGGGCAGGCCAAAGACAATAGATTACTGATTGATTGATCATAATGGAATTTCATTGTTTATCTGCTGGATCAAGAATCTGAAAGAGGTTCAGGCAGGAAAAAAAAGAAGTTGGTATTTTTAATAATCAATCAATTATCAATAAATTATCATTTCTTCTGTCAGGAGACTTAACTGATTACTTGATCCATAATTTGAGCTCTAGGTACAAAGTCTCTCCAGACTCCAAGGAGCAGAAGAAGAGGAGCTGATAAAGAGGAGCTGATAAAGAGGAGGTGAAGAAGAGGAGGTGATGAGCAGCAGCTGATCACAGGTGATGTACAGAGAACAGGTGAACAGGTGAACAGGTGAACAGGTGAACAGGTACGGACCTTGTGGAAGGTGCGGTACAGCCAGGGGACTCTGTGGTGCAGCAGGTGCCAGACGAAGCTCTGGAAGTCGAAGAGCAGCAGGCAGACCAGCACCTGAGCCAGCAGGCGGGGGAGGGGCGGGGCCTCCTCGGGCAGGTGGACTGGCCTCAGGTACCAGTGCATCACGGTCAGCGGGAAGATGAAGACCAGGTGGTTGTAAAGTGTCAGAGTCAGGCAGCTCCGCACTGAGGCCCAGCTAACGGAGCTTTGAGGCTGCAGCTTGTACCTGCGCACCAGGGCCCACCTGAAGGACAGCAAGTCCAGCAGCAGGAAGGGCAGGCAGAAGGACAGGTAGACGGAGATGGAGAAGAAGACGGGGAAGAACGGCGAGCGCAGGAGGGAGGAGTGTCCCAGGAGGAAGGTCCAGAGAGGCTGCAGCAACATCCTGCCATCAGAGAGATCCATGGTATGTTCAGTCTGAGAGTCGCAGCTCAATGGGTGAGTTTTATCATCACAGCTGCTCTTCTATCAGGTCAGCTCCACCCACAACCTCTGCTCCACACCCACATACCCTTACAACGAGAGAAAGCGCCTCCTCCACTTCCCCGCTGGTCTCCAGGTCTCCAGGGTCTGTGCTGGTCACATGTCAGAGGTTGATCTGTATGAAGCTGTGGAGTCCTGTCTGTGCTGAGGAGATGAGTCCTGAGGACGGACTGGAGACATGTTTTCCTGTGTGGTTCTAAAGAAAACAGAAGAACACAGTCTTCAAACATCAACTAAATATAGATGAATAACATATGAATATGAATCTCAAACAGACTGAGGAACAGAGGAAGAATGAACAGTCGTCTGGTGCTCAGCTTCCTCTGGTGGCCAAACAGCACAACTGCGGTAACTAAGAATTATAGGAATCATATTTTACATAAGATGAAATGAATTAAGATGCAGTAAAACTACAGATAAACATGAATTAAAATCTAGATTTAGAAGCTGAATGTGAAGATGTTTTTGAAGTTTGATGTCCAGTGTTTATGTTATGCCTCATTAGTAAGACAAGCCTCCACACTCCTTTATCTCTCGCTTCATTTAAAACAAGAGATGGTTTGTGTTAAACCATCGCAGCCTTAAAAACGAACAACATTTAAGCTTTAAACCTTGACAGGAGGACAGTATACAGATGCTAGAATAGATGTAATGTGCTCTTTTTTACTTCTTCATGTTTTTACACATTTTACTTCACCTTTATTCATATAGGGACAGTGATAGAGTGACAGGAAAGTTGGGAAGAGAGAGGGAATTACATGCAACAAAGGGCCATGGGTCGGACTCAAACCCACGGACTTACCCTAAGTAGTACGCGCTCTACCAGTTGAGCCAGAACAGCACAACTGCAGAAACTGAAAACAGCCACATGGTGAATCCCTGCAGTGATAATAACCACTTGTGCTCCTGTACATTGTTATCAAAGAATCTCCAAGTGACTGAAACTCAGGTGTTTTCCTAAAGAAACGACTCACACTTGTTCAGGAGGCTGATGACGGTGGAACAAACACCACATACTGTGTGATGGTTTCATATCCGTATCATCACAAATGCGTTCAGAACTAAAAGCAATTTAACCTGATCACTGTGGATCAGAGGTCATCAACTGAGTCTGACCATCAAACACTAAAACCAGCAGAAACTGAAGGAGGCTGGTGTGTTACTGAAGGTCTTTGAAGGCATCTCAGTGAAGCTTTGTGATTTTAAACTCAATAGCACAGCGATATCTGGTGGTTGGTAGAAGTCACTACAACACCTCACTGATTTTAATAGTTTCAGTGTCATTGGTGGATAAAGATTGTTATTAAATCTGCAGACGTGACTGTGCAATATGTTACAAAGACTGAATACATGCTTCATCCAAAAAGCCTGAAGGAGAAATGTTTTTGCTGCTGGAAATATGAACTAATACTTGTGCAGTTTAGGATCAGTGACACAGAAAACAACCACAAAGAGATGAAAAACAACCCCAGTCTGTGGCTTCCACATGACATAATCTTGATATGAGATGAGACTGTGTCAATATTCACTCATAAGAAAGATACACAGATTTTCTTCTGTGGTAAATCATCAACATCTTTGTTATCTATCTCAACTCTCTTCTTTACGTGATTTCAGAGGGAGCAGTGAAGCCATCATTAGACTGTTTCAGTTTCGTTTCTTTGTCTGATCTCAGGTCTGAATTTCTGTTCAGTCTCTGAGCTGATGAAGCAGTTAGATCAATAACTTCATTAATAAACTCATCCTCATCATCCTCATCATCATCAGACCTTGTTCGGGTGATTTCTGTTTTCCAGAGTCTGAACTTGGAACATTTCATCATGAGGTGAGTTTGCTTTAGTTTAACAGATGAAACTAAAAAATAAAAGCAGTGAATCAGTCTGTGATACATCATCATAAAATCAGTATTAGTCTGTCTGTCAGTACCTGAATGTCTCTTCAGTGACACAGATCACACTATAAGCTAAATGTCCATGTCTCTGCAGCAGTTATCAGAGTTTAAGGTTGAGTTGATTAGTGGGGTTCCACTAATTAAAGATTTTTTGTTGAATGTAATAATGGTAAATGAATGTATTATGTTGATATCAATATTAATTGTACTGAGACTGATAGAAACTGATCCAAACACAGAAACACTTAATTTCTATAAAATACAGGCCGTAAATACTAATCAACCGAGAATTAATTTTATTTAACAAACAGTTTGTTGGTAGATACAGAGACAGAGGTGCAGCTGTAGTATAGGTTCTATCGTAATGATCTTTTTGGAATAAATCCGCCTAAGAAGACATACAGTGAAATGAAAAGTGAATGAAAGTCATCACAGTTTCTGTAGTTACTGTGTTCTGCCTATAGAGGGCAGTATCTCTATTAGCGCTCTATCAGTATCTCTTCGTAGCTCTATTAGAGCTCGATTTAGCACTCTAAAGACCACTTTTGAGAAGAGATATCTGTAACTTACTGACAGGACACCTGCCACTGGAAACCAGGTTGATGTGTCAGGGTCAGCCCAGTCCAGATGCGTATGTACCTGACAGTCATGTGCCTTCATTGGTGGTCAGCTTCATGAAAACAGCCTCTTCTTCACGACTCTCTCGCAGTGATTCTCGCAGCGCTCTACACTCCAGACTTCTGCAGCTGCAGAGTCGCTTCACCTGGGATCTGAGAAAGGACGACATAGAGCTGGAAAACCTCAGCACTCGACTCCAGGACCATTTAGAGCTTAAGCTGGGACAGCGGGGTGCCGTGGCTCGCTCCTATAGCTTCTTGGCTTACGTCAGGTAGAGTAGCTCAAGTGTCCACTCACCTGGCTGAGAGTTACAAACACAGGAGTTACACAGACAGAGCAGACCAGTGTGCAAAAGCTCATTTTCCTAAAGCACGTGTTTTAAATGGTTTTGTTTTACTGTGGTGGTGTGTACAAATGAGTTCTTCCTTTAGAAACTTAAGCAAGACTAGCAGCCATCGATTAGCTCACTGCCTGTGAAACTTGGCCCAGGGGGGAAGAACCCAGTATTTAAACTGTGATGTGTTCACTTAATGTTAACTAACTTACTGTCGTTAAACTGAACTGAACGTGATTCGTGATTTCCACCTCTGTAATATGTCTGTCCTCAGGTATCTTCAGGATCGGCCAAAGGATGCGGTGTCACTTCTCCACCAATCAGAAGAGAAGACCAGAGAGTGTTATGGTGAGGAGAGTGAGCAGCGGCTCATCGTGACGTATGGAGACCTGGCCTGGCTGAAGTATCACACCGGAGACTACACTCAGTCAGAAAGCTACTGTCAGAGAGTTGACAACATACTGGTGAGTATCCAGACACTGCTCTATGAGGAACTTGTATTAGTACTGGTTTCAACTGCGGACTCGTTCTTCCTTCTCTCTCAACAGTTGAAGTATCCTACTGGCTCCTCTACAGTCCTCCACACAGAGGTGTATGGAGAAAAGGCGTGGACCTACCTCAAGTTTTCGAGGTCTTACTATCCCAAAGCCATTGACTGTTTCTACAAAGCTTTGGAGCTGCAACCTGATGACAGTGAATGGAATGCTGGCCTTGCTATCGCCCTTTTCCGCACAGAAGCAGTAAGTAAAGTGAATGAAATTAAAGCATGTAGCTCTTTGCTGCACCAAACTGGCACAGTGAGTTGGGGGATCCATCAGTGATTATGGATTGTTCGGCATTGGTACTCAGCCTCACACAGGGCACCATTATGTTGGGCATTGGTTGTATCAGCTATCATAAATCAAGGAAATCTTAATATTTAAAATAGTAACATTAATCAGTAACTCTACATGTAGACTAAAAGTGTGCCAGGTTAAAAAGGGTGTTAGCTGCATGCAAGCCCTAGTGCTGGGATGTGCTACAGGTATGTGTCTGAACATATGAGTATCAAGTCAACAGTGTGGCTAACTAGAACCTAAGCAAACCTTACAAACATCGAGCTAAGTGGATACATTAACCAAACATGTACATTGCCAAAGGTTAAGAGTCCTGTGCGTCGTGGCTGCTGGCGATGAAGTACTCGTTCACTCAGGGCTGCTGTTGAAGAGCAGAGTGAGAGAGAGTGCTGTGGCCTGCTGTGAGCAGGCCTGCAGGCAACCTATTGTCCCAAGTGCTGACCTGATGCTGGGAGCCTTGTTGCTGCACAGAGATGTTGTTCCTGGGTAAGCCAGGGAGAGAAGATAGAGAGAACAAGCTGGTTTTGTTTGTCTGACCCCCTTGGGGGTCACATTTCACACAATGACCAACAGTCACTGGTCAGTAAGGTCCCTGGGGGAGGGTCATCCCCAGGTGTGAAAAATTGTGGGGGAGTTATTTTGTCTATGAAACAAAAGAACATGTGGTTTCCACCATCTTTATTGTAGGGAATACCAAACTGAAATACTGAAGCTGATAGAAGATTTCTCAGCCCAAGAATTTGAAACAGTAAACTGACCGGAGTCTCATTTACAGGCAGGTTCCCAAAAACCCCAGGAATCTGAGGAGTCCCCGGCCACTAAACAGCTCCGCAGAGCCCTGGACATCAACCCTGATGATGGGGTCCTGATGTCAATGCTGGCCCTGAAGCTGGCCGGCTACCGGAAACACCAAGAGGCTGAAGGCCTGGTAGAGACAGCACTGAAGATCGGTCCAGAAAACCCTCATGTCACCCGCTATATTGCCAAGTACCTTCGCAGTCAGGTAGGTCAGAATTAGGTAGAACTTCTCTTATATTTCCAATCATCCATTTATTCTGGATCTTGGCCATGGTGGCGGGAAGCTAAACAGAATATTCAGGAAGTCCTTCCTTTGAGACACATCCTTCAGCACTTCTTGGGGGATTCAGGAAGTGCTACTTCCCAGGTCAGATGGGATAATCCCATCGAAGTCCTGAGGCATCCAGATGCTGAGCCACTTAAATACTTTACTGGAAATGTTATTTCTGTCCTAAAAATGATCTGTTCATATCTGACCATGTGCCAGGGTGAAATTGAGCGGTCCATTGATCTGCTGGAGAAAGCACTGAAAAGGACCAGTCAGTCAGCCTTCCTCCACCATCAGCTGGCTCTGTGCTACAAGAATAAGAAGATTGCTGAGCAGACCAGGAAGCCCTCCAACATCCAAAGTATATACACACACACATACGTAGGTCTAAAAGTACTTTGCTATGCCATAAAAACTCTAATCTACCCTATGTTCTACTGCGCTACAATAGGAGTGAAGCAGTGGAGGCGCCTGTGTATTCACCACCTTGAGGAAGCTGTCAAGATAAAGACTTCATTTCTCCTTGCAATTGCTGATCTGGCACTGCTGTATGGAGAAGAAAAGGACTTCAGCAGGTACTCTGTCTGTCTGTCTGTTTGGGTTTGTCTTTCTTTTCTTGGACTAATCACTATTATTTCTGTCTCTGTCAGGGCTGAGGAGCTGTTCCAGCAGGGCTTGAAGATGTTAGAGTCAGAGTCAGAGAACAGCATTTGTCAGGTTGTCCATCAGCGCTATGCAGACTTTAACTTCTATCACACCAAAAAGGAGGCTGAAGCGATCAATCACTACACCCAGGTAGGTTTATGTCTGCATGTGTGTTGCTAACACAATTTGTCATTTGTAATACATTTGGACTACACACTCACATTCACAGATTGAAATTATCACAACTACAAAAGAAAATGATCAATCCATTTGTTCTGAGATGAGGGTCATCGGTGGATTGATCTCTTTCAGTTGGGACTGGTTCATGAGTGAGATTAGGATGGAGCGGTAGATTGACAGGTGGCAACAGCAGTAAAGCGGACTCTGCACCAGACCATTGTGGTGAAGAGGGAGCTGGGCCAGAAACAGAGAGCTAAGCTCTTGATTTACCAGTCGACCTTCTTTCAGACACTCACCTCTGGTCATATAATTGGTTAGTGACCAAAAGAATGAGATCACAGATACAAGCTGCTGAAATGGATTTCCTCCGTAGGGTGTCTGGCTCAGTCTTAGAGATAGGGTGAGGAGGTCTGCCATCTGGGGGGAGCTCGGAGTAGAGTTGCTGCTCCTTTGCATTGAAACGAGCGAGTTGAGGTGATTTGGGCATCTGGTTAAGATTGCTCCAGGGGTCTTTACTACAAAGCAAGTTCAAGATACCCAGGAGAACTTTTTGTTATCTGGCTTGACTGAACCTAACATTGGCCCGTGTTTTATTCACCCAACAGGGTCTGCTATTAACATCGAAGACATGGGAGTCCAAACTATGCGCAAAGGTAAGCATCAGGTTTCACAGACCTGCTAATGCAGTCTTACATAATGAAGGTTATGTCTGTAAGTGTATTATAACTCTAGTATTAGAGATCACTCTACTGTTTAGTCTCTCCCATTCTCCACTGAGAAAAAAGGATATTCTTGCTCAGCCACTCAGAATTACCCAGTAAGCATTTTGCACCCAAACGGTAAAGCAACAGTGGATACTGTACGGCCATGGTACAAGGAGAGGGCTGTCTGGACCTCTTTGCTGAGGCTGCTGCCCCCGCGACCCGGATCCGGATAAGCGGGAGATGACGAACGAACGAACGAACGAACGAATGAACGAATGAACGAACGAGTCATGTTACTGAGTAAGCAGCAGGTGAATGTTCACTGTCCTGTTTGATGGAGTCGGGTCAGTGGAGAATCACGCAGTGACAATAGCAAGGGAGGATGGTTTTTGTCCACTAGAGACAGCAGATAAATCTGAGCTGTCACTTCAAACTAATTTGAAACTTTAATGTCGGGACAATGTTTAATGCCAACGTCAATTTGATGTAGAACACTGACGATAGCTGATACTGATATTTAATTAGCTTTAAGTTGTGTTGTTAAGGAGCCAAAATCAAACTTCTTCCACACATCTTATGACGTATGAAATACAGATGTTCTAGTTGTGAGGAAAACCCGTCTGCTAAATGTCAATCAGCCAACATTGGGTTTTAACATCTACCTGGTTTTCATTTCCAAACAAAATTAAACGTCCGTTCGTTAAATTTAGAGTCGTTAGAGTCATCAGAGTTCTTAATAGTCACCAACGTCGTCAGTTAGAGTCCTCAGTGTTGTCTGATGGCTGTCTGAAGGCAGGTGTAGTGTGATATCAAACATAAATTCATCTTCAGGTGTTGTTCCTCCTGTTTTTACTCCAGAGGCTGAGGCAGATCGCAGAGCGACGTCTCTCAGAAGACGGGAATGACGGCCAGGCCTACGCTCTGCTGGCTGTGTTGGCAAAAGCTGAAGATGACAAGAAGAAAGCTGCTGAATTTTATGAGAAAGCTTTGGACTGTGATGAAGACAATGACAAGTACCTGTCTGCTCTGTGTACACTGCGCATGGAGCTGTAGAGACCTGAGAGGAGACATTTGAGTGCACTTTAAGTTTGATTATAATCACTGCTGTACTGTTGCACCTATCATCAGTTAGAAGTCATTTTATCATCAGTTTACCTGGTTTCCTTCACTTATTGAATAGATGTATGAATATTAAAAGTAGAACTGAATCCTTATACCAAGGTCTCCTACTGCACCGAAGCTTTAGTGATGAGGCTCACTGTGAGTCTCTTTGGATAAAAGTGTCTGACACATGAGTAAATGTAAATGTAGACAAAGTCACATCTGCAGTTAGAGCATTAACAACTCATCATTAAACCTGAATGCGATTTATTTGGTTTGGTCAGTGTTCTGATATTAGACATTAGTTAAACCTCATTAATGTGTGATATCATTTTAATTCATGTATGTTGAAGCATAAATCACTCTGCTGAAACAGTGGGACATGTGTCTTAAATGTAGATTTAAAAACATTAACCTGTTTCTCACTGTCACACAACTTTAAATAAATGCTGCTGTTGCCGTCACTGTGTCCCCATGTTGTTGGAGGTGTGTTACAGTGACCTGCTGTAGTTTCAGGTTGATGTTTGTATAGTTACTGTGGAGTCTGACACATGGTACAGAGCTGTAGATGATGGTTCACTGACTGATTATGTCTCTGTGGTGGTTTTGTGTCTCTTTGTGGTCGGTTTGTGTCTGAGACAGAGTTGTGTTGCTGCTGCTCCTCACAGAGAGTTTTTAAGTTGTCCTCCTGTCTAATTCTCTTCTGTACGAGGCATCAGAGGAGACAGTGAAGGCATCGTTACTTTGGTTTCGTTTCTGCGCTCTGTTACTTCACTTCACATCACAAATACCAGGACGAGGTTGGAGCCTGAACGCAGAGAAACATGAGGTGATTTGTTTGTCTCGTTTTTATTTCATCAGCTGTGTTGTGTTCAGGACCTAATCAGCTGTTTGTGTGTCTGATCAGCTGATCCACTTTGTGATCACAACATCAGGAACAAATGAAACACAATTTCCAATTGAAGCTGCGTTCTCTTTTTCAGTCGAGATAGAAGTTGAGGAAATGATGAATGGCTTTGGTTTTAGGTTTAAATGTCTTAAATGTTTATTTTCATGTTCAGTTAATCAATCAACCTCATGCCTGGGTGTGGTTTCTCTGCAGTACAGAGTAGACTCCCAGCATGCACCTGCATAGAGATGAGATTATTTAGTACACGGGGAAGGGGAGGAGGGGGGCATGTCATCTCACTTTTCCAGTTTCAAGACAGTTTTTTGATGAAGTCTCTCTGGACATTGAAATGGGGGAGAGAGAGAGAGAGAGATCCATTATTATAACCATGAGCTCAGAGGAACTGTGGGTTCTGGTTCTCTCAGTGTTTCACTGCTGTACGTTACACACAGAACCACTATGGAACATGTGAAACACCATAGCATTCAAAAAGGTGTAGCTGAATTCCAAAGACACTGATTGGTCAGAAGCTGGAGATCCTGCCCTCTCTCCACTGACACTGTGACATCATCACACAAAGTTCACAGGCAGAAAACAAACTGCACAAGTTTATAAAACTACAGTTCCAGATACAAACACCTGTTAGTAATCTGTATGGAAGGCCAGAGAGGACAAAAACATGTTAACTTGACTTCTGAAGTCACATGTTCTCAACATGTTTATAAGTAAACAGGAACAACAGATAACTACAATTTCTGCGGTTTGATTCCCTCTCTACCATCACTAAGTAAAAATGAAGGCGTCACCGACTTCAGCAGCGTAATGAGCGTTTCATGTGTTGCAGTGATGCAGGTGAGGACGTCTGCTCCCGGCTGCAGTAGCTGCAGAGTCACTTCACCTGGGATCTGAAGAAGGAAGACCTGCAGCTGGACGACCTCTGCAAGCAGCTGCAGCACAACATAGAGCTGGCGCTGGGACAGCGGGGGGCGGTGGCCAACGCCTACAGCTTCCTGGTTTATGTGAGGTACAGGACACTGTGAGGTCAAAGATTCACACAGGTGGATAAACACCTCTCTGATTCAGTAAAGACTCATAACTCACCTGACTTTACACAGGTGAAACTGTGTTGATCCAGGAAGTAGACAAGGTCAAACAGTGGGTGTACGGTGAAGCCAGAGGGTCAGAGAAGAGTCTGAAAACTAGCTAATATCATTAATAATAATACATTATTATTCTTGGCAGTTGGTCAGAGAGTCAAAAAGATAAATGAAGTGAATGATGGTTACAGGTGGATCTGAATGTGAATGTGTTATAGTGACCAACAGTTTTATAATGATCTTAAAGATCCAGTGTCAGCAGCCAAGTTACTGTCATCTCTACGGTGGCCCTGAAGCTCAAAACACAAACATCTTCATCAGTTTAACAACACATGAGCTGCAAATTCATGCAACACAACGTTAGTGTTTCCAGGGGACGCAAAAAAGTGACGGACCTCGGGGGCACTCGTTTACTTTCTGACTTGAAGTTATGAAGATGGCTAGCTGTTAGCGAGCTACAGGTGAGTTTGTTTGGTTTTTTCTTATAACGTCAATATCACATGATTCAGATATTATTTTTAAAATTTGCTGTTAGCTGAGCCTTCCGTCTAGTCACTTTTTTGTATCCCTTGGAAACACTTCCGTTGTGCTGTGAGTATTTGAAACTCATGTGTTGTCAAACTGATGAGATGTTTTCTGAGGATGTTTGTGTTTTCAGCTTTAGGGCCACCGTACATTCAATCTGCTTTACATCACTGTCAGCAGGTGAGTTCTTAGTACAGAGACCATGAACACAACCTAGGTTTCTACTACACTAATTCTTTTAAAGTATATATTTTTTTGGGCTTTTGTGCCTTTATTGGACAGGATAGTAGAGACAGGAAATGGGGAGGCAGAGAGAGGGGGAATGACATGCAGTAAAGGGCTGTCCAATGCGGGATTCGAACCGGGGCCGACTGCAGCAAGGACTTTAGCCTCTACATATGGGGCGCCTGCTCAACCCACTGCGCCACTCCCTAACCCTACACTGATGCTTTTATTTTGGTAAATTGTACTTCTGGAGTAATCCTGGCTTTAATTGTGAAGGCTTTCCTGATGTTTCTCAGTTTGACAACAAACAGAAATCATGCAGCTGTTGTGTCTCTGCAGCTGGAGAACCTTAATGCAGGAACACGTTCTGTGTTATCAGGAGAACAGATGTACATCAGCTAAAGTCTGTTTCAACATCTAGTGACGTGAACCTGAAGACTTACGGAGGAAAATTGTATTTTGTTGAACAGTCTGAGTCCAGAACCAGGAGCCTCAGGGTTCAGGTTCAGGTTCAGGTTCAGTCCACTCTCTGGATCCTGTATCTTTATCCCTGCAGGCGAAGCACCCTGTTGATTCGTCCACTGACCTTCGCCCAGAGGTTTATGGAGAACAGGGCTGGACCTTCCTCAAGTTCTCCAAGTCCTACTACCCCAGAGCCATCGACTGCTTCCGCAAAGCTCTGGAGCTGCAACCAGAGAACTGGGAGATGAACACCAAAACGGTGGTTCTTCCTGTAGGTGTGTGTAGAGCAGATGTTCATCTGAGCTCTGACCTGCAGAACATCACAGAGACATATCCTGAAGAGTTGCCGGCCACCAAACAGCTGCGTCAAGCGCTGGAGACCAACCCTGATGACGGCGTTCTGATGTCCATGTTGGCCCTGAAGCTGCTCGTCCACCGCAAACCCCAAGAGGCACAGAGACCAGACGTCACCACAGAGACCAGACGTCACCACAGAGACCAGACCTCCAGCACAGAGACCAGACCTCCAGCACAGAGACCAGACCTCACCACAGAGACCAGACCTCCACCACAGAGACCAGACCTCCAGCACAGTGACCAGACCTCCACCAGAGACCAGACGTCACCACAGAGACCAGACCTCCAGCACAGAGACCAGACCTCCACCACAGAGACCAGACCTCCAGCACAGAGACCAGACCTCAACACAGAGACCGTCACTTACATCAACGCAAAGAACCAGTTTCAGAATAAAACACCAGATCAATATAATCTGATTATTACATTCATTAACTTACAGAGGAGGCTTTTATTTTGAAGGTCAAACTGTCATTTTTAAAAGTCACGTTTTTTACATTTGTTAGAAAAGATTTGTTTGTGTGTATGTGTGTGTCAGTGCTGGGTCGCTGTGTGTGTAGCAGTAAAGTCCAGCTGAGCGTCCTCGGCGGCAGCAGTCAGGACGCTCTGGACTTGTCTCTGCAGCTCGGGGTCCAGCAGCGTCGCTCCGCCTGAGAATCTATCCTGAAGAGGAAAACATTTTTTTGATCAACGTTCAGGTGTGAAACAGGAGGTCAAAGGTCAACATTAACACCATCATCAACGTATGAAGGTGCGTTTGGTTCCTCTACCTTCTTCTTGGTGCTGGGCGGAGCCACCGGGGGGTTAAAGGTCATGTCTCTGACGCTGTAATCACCAAACAGCTCCACTGGACACCTGGACAGGAAGTCAACACTCACCATTAAAGAGGACCTGTTACGACCATTTTTAGTGCTCATCATTACAGTCTTGGTAACCAATCAACTGTAGTAGTACAACAAGTAGTTGCTTTCCGGCAACAACCATGGCAACGACACATTTTGCACGTCTCGTGTAAACAAATGTTTGTGGCAGCTACAGTTCTGGCGTATCGGTTCGATCCTGAACCAGAAGACGATAGACCCAAACCACTTTCACAAGCTGGACTGGAGCAGAAAACAACCGTACACCCTGTCAGGCAGTCGGGAGGAGGGAAGAGGCCAAAATTTGGAAAGATGTGCTGCGAATCACTACGCTGGACAGTCTGCAAAGACTTCGGAAGACAACATTCAAAACTTGGAATTCTTTTATGAAAAATCATTAGATGTTTTATGTGTGGACACTTCCAGACTAAAGGGATATAAATAACGGAGGAACAGACAGGCAGTTGGACTCTTCAAAGGTGGGGAGTCACCACTGCTTACGATGCTGGTAAATCTGAATTTGTGTATCTGAGCTAACGAGGTATAACATGTCAATACTGCTTCTTACTAACGTGATCAGGTTGCGGTAACGCCATTAAACAACACAGATCCGCAATAACAATGCAGACTGAGAGGCCGTGAGCCCATGTTCAGTTCGATTCCCTGGGTTCCTCCAGGTGACAGACAGGTAAGACACAGAGACACCTGATCATCAGCTGTTCATACCTGCGGCTCAGCTTCGCTCCAAGTGACCCTGCCCCCTCGCTGGGAGCTCCCTGACACAGGTGAGACGCAAACTGCCGAACCACCGGGTGGAAATGTCTCTGTGGACACACAGGAAGTAACACATGAGTGAGTGAGTGAGTGAGTGAGTGAGTGAGTGAGTGAGTGAGTGAGTGTATGTATGTGTGTGTGTACCTGCAGTGTGTGTAGCTCCCACAGAGCTGTGTTCTGAGCGTTGCAGTGTTCAGGTTCGTCCAGCTCTGGCAGGTAGAAGCCGCTGCCCTGAACCTCGTTATCCAACAGGAAGTCACACTTAGGGAATGACTGACACATGCACACACAATTTAGACAGGTACAATAGGTATCATCCACATTTAACTGAACCAGGATCCATCCTCATTTAAAAAGTCAATGATCTCACACACACAGTGACTCACATGCATGGTGGATCTGTTGGCAGCGAGAATCCCCACGCTGGCGTTGGGCAGTACGTGCAGACTGAGCGTGCTCAGTCGTTTCACGAATGCCATTGCCCTCTGCAGGGTCACCTGCTTCCTGCGCCGTGTCAGCATGGCATCCAGGCACCGCAGCACAATGATGATGTCATCATTGGGCACCCCTGGGGTCAGACAGAGTGATTCATGTTCAACAGTTTTCACCATACCACGTTGTGATGCGTTGAGGTGTCTGTGTGTGTGTACCTGCGTGCAGCTGCCGCAGCATCTTGTAGAGCTGAGAGTAAAAGGTGAGAGGGTCGATGTTCAGGACGTCACCTGATCTCTCACACACACACACACACACGAAGAAAGATGACCTTTAACCTCCTGACTATCATCTGTTCAGTCAGTTGTAGGATACACATCTGTCCTTTCAAAATAAAGTGGCCTTTTCAAAATGTATAATCAGTGTATGAACTGTCACACACACACACACACACACACACACACACACACACACACACACACACACACACACACACACACACACCTTGTCCTGACAGGATGGTGAAGACAGTCTGGATACAGTGGAGACTCTCCCGATTGGTCAGATCCTGCAGAGATGACATCATCGATCAGTTTGTGACTGGACTGAAAGTAAGGGGGCGGAGTAAAGGGGCAGGGCCAAGGTGAATACTTACTCCTGACTGGATGAGGTTCTGCAACACGTTGAGCAGGTCGTCAAAGAACTCCAGGTTGATCAGATGAGCAAAACTGACAGGAAGTGACATCACAGTCAGTACTGTGTGTGTGTGTGTGTGTGTGTGTGTGTGTGTGTGTGTGTGTGTCATACTTGGCCAGTCCCTCCAGTACAGCAGGAAGAAGAACAGACTTCTTAGCTTTCTTCAAAATCCTGAAGTAGATGAGGAAGACGATGTTCAGAGTCTCTGTGTGCTGAGGAAGAGGAGGAGGAGGAGGTGGTGAAAGATTAGTTTCTCGTTCCTTTCATTAATAAACTTTTACATATTCAAATTTTGTTGGGGCTTTCGACTCACCAGCTTGATCTTCTTCTCTTTGCTCTCTGAGGCTTCAGCCTCCAGCAGCTCCTTCTCCAGCTTTTCCTCCGCCTTCTTCCACTGCACACCCACACACACACACACACAGAGACACACACACACACACACACACACACACACACACACACACAGACACACACACACACACACACAGAGACACACACACACACACACACACACACAGACACACACACACACACACAGACACACACACAGAGACACACACACAGAGACACACACACACACACACAGACACACAGACACAGACACAGATACACACACACACACACACACACAGACATGAATTAAATTATTAAATGCTAGTAAATACTAATAAATACTAACAAATGCAAATAAATGCTAGTAAATGCTAATGAATTCTAATACCTTCCTCTGCATCCTCGACAGGTTCTTTTTCTTCTCTTTGTTGTTCATGAACTTCTTCTTTGGTGCCGTCGCCTCGATGTCCTTCTTCATCTCCACTTCCTTAATCCTCAGACTGAGCAGGGTCCTCAGCACCTGGGGGTGGGGTCGGGGGAATCAGCTGACATGCTGCTGATTGGTTGGTGTTTGTATTACCGTGGTTCGGGTGCGTTTGATTCCTTACCTCAGGTCTGACGTTGTAGTTGAGGCTCTTCACGAGGCCGGAGACGACCCTCACAGTGGCCAATGAAGCCCCGCCCTGTTTGTCCTGCTGGAAGAGCTTCCTGAATGCATCACAACACATGTCCGACACCTGTAACACAGAGACACCTGAACGCATCACAACACATGTCCGACACCTGTAACACAGAGACACCTGAACGCATCACAACACGTAGCTCCACCTGAGCAGACGCACTCTCACCTTCTTGGCAGGATCGTTCATCAGCGGGACAAGGATGACGATTATGTTGTTGTGGAAGTTGAAGTGCGGCAGAGCGAGCAGCAGCTCACACAGGCAACGAACGGCCACTTCAGCCAGGCCGCGGTACGACTGGAAACCCACCGCCTGACTGCGCTTCTTCTTCCTCTGCTTCCAGTCTGAACGTGAAGCACACACCCGGTGACACCTGTGCTGTGTTGGCTGACGTGTTGTGTGTGCGTGTGTAGTTGTGGTTGTGTACCTCTGACTGTCTGCTCCAGGTCCTCCAGGTAGAACTTGTACTGACTGACCAAACCCTCCTCGAACTCTCTGAGCTGCTGAGTCTCTTTCTTCACCTGCACAACAAACACACATTCATCAATGAGCTGCTGTCAGTCACCAGCTGAGACTGAAGCACTGACATCGGTTAACACATGAAGTAACTGAAACATGTCACTTCCTGTCTGACCTCTGGTTTGAACAATACAATCATATATATCATATGTATTATACATATTTTATATATATCTATATATATATATATATAATATATATGTATGACATCATCTACAGTTGTCGGTCCTCTCTGGTACCTTGGCGGCCTTCTCTGCGGGGGTCAGGGGACGGATCCTGTAGGTGGGAGCGATGTCTTTAAAGATCTCCATGAGAGAAACCATCACCAGCTTCCTGACGGTCACCGCCACAGAGGGGTCCGACTCCATCAGCATCCCACGCAGCTCCTTCACCCGCTTCATCTGAACACACACACACACATTACACACACCGCCCTTTTAAACCTGAGTTTGATCCTGGACCAGCTCCAGACTTACGTTACTGACGGGGTCTGAGATGATGGCTGATCCTAGACCGGCTATGAGCAGCTTCTTCTGGGTGATCTTCTGAACTCTGAGCTGCTCTCTCTGCTCAGCTGTCAGATCTGCAATGCTCTCCAGCCCCCCCCCTGGACAGGAGGACACATGACAACCACGTCAAGACTCACGACCACGTCCCGAGACAGGCCCAGAGTCAGGACCAGGACTTTGAGCTCTATTATTCTATGATTCCATATTTGAAGGATAATACACTAATGAATGCATCTTTAGTATTATCAATTATTCTTTATTAATATTTTATTATTTAAACTTCATTCATACCGTTCTCCTCCTCCTGTGGCTCCTCAGCAGCAGCTTCTTCCTCCTCCTCCTCCTCCTCTTCCTTCTGCTTTTTGACAACTTCAAACAAACAAAACAGACATGATGTTTAGACCTTTGACACAGTTAACTAATCACTGACCAATCACTGAACAATAGTGTGTACCTCTCTCTACACTCTGTGGGATGACGCCCGTCTTGTCTTTGATTGGCAGCAGGTGGATCACCTCCTTCTCCTCCATCCTCGCCATCTTCCTGGGAACTTTCTCATAACCACGGACGACCTCTGAGCTCCGCTTCTTCCCGCCGTGCACCGGCCCGCTGGGACGCCCCGCCGCACAAAACAAACACACCTCAGTCACCGTTTCCTTTTTGCCCATTCGGAATCACCTGCCCTGTTCTCATGGATGTGTCTGTGTTGGTGGTAGTTACCATGACGACAGGTCTCTGGTGATGAAGGAGGCTTGTCGAGCCATGGTGGTCATCTGCTGCAGGTCGTCATCCTCCATCATGTCTGTGGGCAGAGTCTCCAGAAACTCCTCCTCATCCTCCTCTTCCTCTGTCAGAGACCAGGAAGGAGAAGAAGAAGAAGAAGATGAGGAAGAAGAAGAATTAGAAAAGGAAGAAGAGGAGGAAGAAGGGGAGGAAGAAGAAAGGCTGTCTGATGTGATGCAGAAAGGCTGAGCCACAGTAGCAGTGTTTGACATGTGAGGGGCCTCTCTCACCTGGTCTCTTCCTGTACGTCTCCAGTGGGCGAGGCGTCCTGATGGCGGCATCCTTCACTGCCTGTCTCAGCTTCTTCTGTTCTTTACGCTGCTTCTTGGCGATGTTCTGCTGCTTCAGCTGACGGTTCTTCAGTTTGTTCTCGAGCTTCACGCCGCTCGTCTTCAGCAGACGGCGGAAGGTCGGCCGACGCTTCTTTGACCGAGGCCCCTGCAGGGAGGGGGTTGGTTGGAGGGTGGGGGTGGGAGGAGTGGTGGTGGTGGGGTAGTTAGACTTGTGACTCATATAAATCATAATTCACTTTACCAAATAAAGAAGGTTAAAGATTTATAGAGAAATTATTCTGACAAAACAAACAAAGATCTAAAGTTTAAGCTGAGTGTTTTCAACTCTTATTTTGAAAGTCTGGATTGGTCAGTGAAACATGTTTCATTTTCAATCTCCTCACAAAAACAAGTTAGACAATAAATACACTGAAATAAGAATGATCCAGTGTCTGTATAATTCCATTCAACATCCAATACGTCTGTTTTATTTTGTAACTTTATTCACTGACATATTTTTGAATCATCTGTAGAACTGTTGATCATTGATTAACTATCTATCAAGTGTCTAAGAACAATCAGCTGGTGACGTCAGCACTTCTATCAATACACAGTTTAGCAGCAGCCAGGAGACACTGATGAGACGGTTTAATGTAATGTTCAAATATAATAACTTCCCTGGTCACTCATATTGATGCTGATTTAATCACAAGACCAAAACTGTTCAGGAAATACTTGACTTATAAATACTTTGTTTCATGTTCAATACAGGGAATAACTTCCTGTACGCTGCAAACTTTAAATTCACAGATTTCTCTATGGAGTCTGGCGGATCGATAAGACTGAACAGGAGCTTCAGTTCTGATTCAGTTCATAGTCACGTGTTAAAAACTGGTGAGAATAACGTTCCGCTCAGTGAACGTTCATTTCACGGGATGTTCCACTCTTTTCAAAGTGCTCCGCTGTGACCGGGAGTGACCTTACCGGACCCATGGCGGCGGGAACTCTCCGTCTCACAGCGCAGATTCAGACCCGGGTTCTGTCCACCCTCCTCGGTGTGTATGTGATAACGTTTCCCGGTGTGTTTTGGTAAAAAGCTGCGGTTTGTTGCCACACGTGTGTAGATCTGAAAACCAGGTTCACGCTGAAGACCCGGAAACAGAAGACAGTCCTCCTCTGCCGGGACAACAGCGCCATCAGCGGCGGGAGGACCACAGGGACAAAATAATGTGACCGGCACCAAATCACGTGACTGATTTTAATACTACATAAATATAGTTCAACATAGAGAATATAAATTAGGTGCTAAAGAAACACATTGAACAGGCTGCCCCACGAGTCTATTAAACCTCTGAACAGGTGAGTCACCTGATCATGAACTCATCCTTCATGTGTCACTGTGACCTTCAGTGTCTGAACAGACGAACCTGAACACAACATGCTGTCCACTCACTGGTCTACATAAAGACTTTCACCTGAGATGAGTCAATCAATCAATCAATCAATCCATAAATCAATGAATAATAAACAGACACAATGACTTTGTTCTGCTTCGAATTTTCATTTTTAAAAGATCGTTTTCATTATAATTAAATATTGTCTTAAAATATTTATGTTTTTGTGTCTTAGCGTCTTGTTTTGTTTTTCCACTCAGAGACTCAAAGACTCACAGCTTTCATGTTTTATTATAGAAACACTGAGAAATATTAAATAATAAAAACTGAATTCTTCTTCACAAATGTCACATTAACCCAGAGACAGAGACAGAGACAGTAGTTCAGATCAGCTGCTGCAGGACGACAACACCTGTGAGAGAAAAAACAAAACCTCATTACACCTGGTCCATTTCTCCTACAGACTGATCCGTCTGTCAGGTGACTCACCTGACTCCACTTCCTGTTCCCGCTCTGCATGGGCATGGCCAAGATGCAGGAGAACAGCCTATCAGAGAGAAGCTCTTCATCAGGGAGGCGTGACAGGAACTGAGCTGGAGGAGGGACACAAGAGAACAGAGTAAAATACAACAGTCTTCTATCTTTGATGTGCCCTCAGGAGATCTGAGTGTCCTCAGGTGTCCTCAGGAGGTCTGTGGTCCGGCCTTGTAACCACATGTCTAACTATTGAAACTGGTCGAGTCCAAGTCGAGTCCCAAGTCCACTATGATGAGTCCACGCCAAGTCTCAGGTCCAAGTCCATGTTGAGTCTCACCATTCCAGAGTCCAAGCCCTTTGTCATGCCACTTCAGGTCAGGACTCAAGTTACTCGACACAGGTCTGATTCAAAACTCGAGGTTCTCAAGACCAGTCCGAGTACAGATTCAACCACCTGATACAAGTCCAAAGTCTCAGGTCACAAGTTCAGGACAAGTACCAAGTCCACATGAAGGCATAGCTCCAAAAGAGTACAGGTCTACGGTCAGCTGCAGCTGTTTTGGGCCTATGAAAGCTGATTGGACCTTGTGTGAGTGATGTCACCGAGGTAACAGAAGGTGAGGCGTCGCTCACCTATGCTGATCAGGTCCATGTGCAGCAGGACGTTCTGATACAGTCTCAGGATCCCCAGAGCTGTCCTGAACAGGAACTCCTCCCCATCCCGAAAGAAAACGTCCCAGACTCTGCACGCCACGTCCAGGGGGAGGGGCTTCGTGTAGAGAGACAGGATCCTGGAGGAGGGGTGGGGGTGGGGGGGTGAGGTGGTGGGGTTTTTGTTTGTGGGGTTAACAGAGAAACATTTAACATTCTAACTGTATAGATGTGTTTCAGTTTTTCATCTCTTGTGTTCAGACACAGGCCCAGGACGGTTTAGCTTCCTAGTCAGGGCTCAGCTACTAAGTCACTGGAAGTGGAGGGGAAACTTTAGCCTAGCTTAGCACAAACACTGGAAGTGGAGGGAAAACTGTTAGCCTAGTAGTTATCGAACCTTTCTATACAGTCTCCAAGTTGTGTGTATTTGATTTGACATGTTTCTTGCTTTTTGGTTCGGATGGGTGGGGAACAGTTCTACACCATGGAACCAATAAATCACGTGCTCAATATCAATAATCAATATTTTAGAAACAGTTTCTATCAATTATGTACTTGTATGACAGCAACTACGACTGTATCTTTGGTTAATTAGGACTTCACCAGTCCAGGATAGAGGTTCAGGATTTACAACCTACAGCTGGTAGTAAAGGAAGAGAAGGAGGAAGGAGTTTCTACCTTCTAGAACAACTCTGGTGATGGCCTCCGAAATACCTGTTACATCTGCAAGGGTAGAAGGACGACAGTGAGCTTACGTTCCAACAACACACACACCACACACACACACATCACACACACTCACACACACACATCACACTATCACAACACACACACTACACACAAACTACTACAACACACACAACACACAAACACACCAGGGTCTTGGTTTCAACTCTGTTAGAAAGCCTATGTTCTGAACGTGCGTCTATGATTCAGGTTGGAGATTAACTGATGGAAGGTGCTTCGTACTTCTGCTCATGTTCAGGATCAGAACAGCTGGTATGTAGAGAGGACATCCCCGTGACCTGGACGAGAGACATACACACATCATTGTAGACAGAGTAAGAGAGAAACTGTGATTGTGGATCTGCTGCGATCAGCTGAGGGGGGCAGAGGGTAACCGGTATCCGGTGAGTACACTTGGATGGTAGAACGTTTACAAGTCTTTTAGTCCATAGTCTCATTGTCATCTTAGTCCACATGAATCTCACATTGGAGTCCAGGTCAAGTCTGGAGATCACTGTGTGTTGTGTGTGGTGTGTGTGTGTGTGTGTGTGTTGTTTGAATATCGTGTTTGTGTGTGTGTGTGGTTGATATGTGTGTGTGTGTGTGTTTTTTGCTTCGCTTGTGTGTGTGTGTTGTGAGCGTCACATATCCCACATCAGGTCTGTAGCAAGGTGTAAGCTCCCAGTGAATGCTTTTGCTCAGGGCAAGGTCGTGTAAAGGACGCACCCCTTACCAAATTAAAGTCCTTGAATTCAAACTTACCATGTTCTCTTGCAAAGCGTCTTAAAAACAATTCTGTTATTGACGCTCGACTGGTTCTCATACCTTCTGAGTCATGCACTCTCCGAACTGATAGTGGAACTCCTGGAGAACGTCCTGGCGGTGTGATACACTCCCAGAACTGTAAACTCTCTGTTGACCAAGGTGACCGCTTGTGTCTCGTTCGAGTGTAGTCTACGGTGAGTCCCCTTAAGTTAACACACTAGAAAAAGAGATATAAAATTAAAACAACACCCTACTATCTATGCTTAGTTGTTGTTCCTTAATTGCCCTGCCAGTTTTCTTTTGGTTTGATTCATGATTGCAAGGTTTCATGAAGTAGTGAAGTTTGTTTTAATAACACAGTTCCATCCAGGGCTAAAGTTTTGACAAGAAATGTGTTACACAGGCCCTGAAGTCATAAACATCCCTCGCTCCAAAGTGATGAGAGGATTATCGCTGGCTAGACTACTGTTATCACAAGTGATCTTAACATTTTAAAGTCTTATCTCAAAATTCTTGCAAACAATCCTTTTTCCATTAGAATGATTGGCTTGTCATCTGGGAAGTGAAAAAACAGTGACATCTAACAAACCTGCCGGTCTATTACAGGCTGCCGAAGTCCACACAAACACCTGAACATGTTAGAGACCACAATCTTAAGACTTTTCAAACAGCTATTCTATATGGCCCACAAAATCAATATCGTGCATTATGGACTCCAGGGTGGAGTGAGCCCTGATAGAGGCTTCGAGCCTAAAAAATACAACACAACATGACTATTGTTTCCATCTTGTCTTCATGGCTACCCAAATCCTTTTCTAGTCCCCAACAGCCATCACACACAAGCTGTCCCCAGTATCTGAGAAATTATGTAGACCTGGGGAATGGGAAAGTGAGCTGCTGCTGCCTCAGTCCTGTTGTGACCGTACTTGAATACTCACCAGCCAACCAACACATGCTTCGTTACTCTCGCTTCCAGACCCTGATTTCTGCTTCAGTTGGTGCGGAAAGAGCGAAAATGTCACAACATGGCCGACATTGCATCCATCGTCGAAATCTGGTCTTACTTGTAGCCATGTGTTAGAGTTGCGCAATATATGTATCTACTGGTTTGCGCGACAGTGTTAGCATGAACTATAGCAAATTGCCCGCCTGGACACTGATGTTTTATGTAGTGCCCCCGCGAAGCTAACTGATAAGACATGACACTACTGGTAAAAGTTGAAAAAAAATGCACTTAACACACCTACTCTCTAAACACAGCCAGTAGGCCCATACGTTGCTAACTATCACGCCATGTAACATGAGACTATACTTCAAAATGATCAGTAGCTGAGCTAGTAGATGCTTTTAATAGATGTAAAAACCCACATCGTGATGCCAAGGTAAGGAACACGTCTAACACTAGACCATAGAGCTCGACCACTAGTATGAGCTTATATATACCTGCTCCGGGTGATGATAAACACCACTGTAGTCCCCCTGGCTGCCTGATGAGGCCGCATTATGCTGGATTCTCACCGGGGAAAACTGAGTCCCAGTCTACGCCACAACTCACATATATCTCCAGTCACTGCTAAGTCAAACTAGCCGTTAGCTCTGCTGTGGGACCCGCTAGCTAATGCTAAAAGCTGTGTTTGCAGAATCAGAAACAGACGTTGCGTTCAGTGATCAGCTGTCTGCCAGATCTGATAAATGAAAAGGTCAGGGAACCAGAACTCGGGGAATAAGAATGAGAGCTCCAAAATACGGCAGGGCCGTGAAGGTTAAACGAGGGCCTTAAAAGGTTAAGGGGGAACTCCTATACCTAAACAACTACCGAGTTAGCTCCCAACAAACAACATCCACACTGTGAGCTAGCTAGCCCTGTCCACCGTACTTGTTTATTGCTGTATTTTTGAGAGTATTAGGTGCCACCACAGAGGCACGTGAGCGATAATATTCACAAACTTGATCACGTGTACAGGGCAAGGTCCCTACCGAGTTTAGTGTTCTCATGCTGAGTATAATTTTGACTAATTTTCTGTGATTAATTAATTCTCAATTATTCAATACCGGTGACCTTTTGTTAAGGGACTGTCAATAGTCCAATCTATGTGTAAGAGGACAGGTCTGATTCAAAAATAATGGAAAAAAAACGATTAAAAATCAATTTTGGAGCGAGAATGAAAAAATTATAAAACAGGGCTCCGCCTAATATATAATCAATTAGTGTCTTGGTTAAATAGTCTAAATCATTAATCCAATTAAGGTACCACAGCAGCTTCACTTACATATCATCGATCTTCTAGTCTGTGAAGTAATATATAATCTGGATTTTACTAACTTTAATGTGTCTATCTGAATTAAACAATGCAACAATAACAGCAGAGTGCAATATTCTGTCAAAAGCAGGGCTAACAAAACAATCTTCACTGGCCTCTCTATAAACAGCAAATCTCAGGTGCAGACTTCATCAGTGAGTCGGGCACAGTCAGGCACGAGACATTTGCGGTCACAGGCTGGCCTCCAGCCCAAAAGAAAAAAGACCGAAGAGTAACTGATGACAGTCTCCACCATTTGCTGTTTAAGAATTGCAGTGAAGATTGTTGTTGACCCTTGCGTTTTACAAAATTATTGCACTCTGCTTTGAATTTGTTTTGTCAATTATTGTTGACTGCAATCTAAAGCTTGCTGTGTCTGGAGACGAACGTGTCAAGGAGTGAAGCATGAAGAGTGTGAGAAAGGACTCGCAAAACAAGGAGAGTAACTGAAAACACGCATACACTGAACATCTAAAGAGGTCGCAAGGACGTCACCCAGGTGTTCGTCACCAGGTGAGCAATACCGGTGAGTCTCTGTTGTCTCAGTGTTTTCTTACCGTCGTGTCTCTGTCTTAGTGACCGATCCACTTCTCCTTCACTCTGGAGAGGAAAGATCTCATAAAGCTCTGAGAAGGAGGAGGAGGAGGAGATGATTACCAGGTGTTGCACGTCTCAGGTCAGTGAAACATTGCCCCCCATCTTGTTATTACTGACCAGTAATGTTGACGCTCAATTGTTCTTAGATCTGGCAGGGCACCACACTCGGCCCCCGGATTGCTGGAGGGTAAAACCCCCCCACCACAGGTCCTGAGCACGCCGACTGGACCTCCTGAACACAACAGGAGGTTCGGGAGCAATAACACACACACACACACCACACACACACACCCACAACCCACCACCCCACACCCCACACCCACACCACACCACACACCCACAACACCCGTCCCACACCCCACACCCCCACCCCCACCCACCACCCACGTGTGGTCCTACATGGCATCTCCAGTGTGCGCAGGATGTGCTGGTTCCAGACCATGGTTGGCCATTGAGATCTCTTCCTCCTGTCTGAACCTCTCCTTCATCTGCTGCTGCCTCCGCTGAGCCTCCTTCAGCTCTGAAGGAGGAAGGCCACAGACAGGCCGGAGAGCAGAAAACCCACTCATTGAGGTCATAACACACTCCTTCTGGCCCGCCAGTGACGCTGCAGGCTCGTTTCAGCCACTACGAACTCACAGCACTCGTGATGCGAGACAGGAGTGAATCACAGCAGAGTGGTTAAATACAAGACGGAGGAAGGCCCGACAGCGGTGACACGTAACTCACTTCCATTCTGCTCATGCCACTCATTCTGCTCGTGCACATGCTAGGCCAGAAGTGCTGATCTTTGACGAAACTACTTCAGCCACAAATTATAATATCTAATAAATCTGGTGAAGATTTCCAATGACACATAAAGCTACTAGCTATGTTTAGATGATACAGGTGACTATAGGAGTAGCGGGCAAGTAAACAAGGTAAAGAGATTGCGTTTAACAATAACGAGTACAGAAGTGATTGTTTATACTACATGACAGAACGTGCGTCGTGTATTACTGCACGGTTTTCAGAAAAGGCGAGTTCTCATTATGCGGTAACAAGCTCACTTGACATTTCATGCTAACTGCAGCTCGCGGTACATGTTGGGAAGCCAAATGCGTGGCCTCGAAATCTTCCGCTGCCTGACTTCACTATCGACACACCTAGTACTGGAACACAAACAATCAACACAGTCTAGAGGACTCAGTCCAGCAAGCTGTACTGTGATGTCGCGCTGGACGACTCTGAGACTACCAAAACCCACCAGACCACACGCAACTGCCGCGACACAAAACACAACAACACACACACACCACACACGATACACACAATACAATCATATGAGCTGCTGGTGAGATGATGTCCTGATGGAACCCGCCTCTACCAGGTGAGCGACAAGACGCCCCACAGTGTACACAATTAATGGTTATATTGTTTATTTCTGTGTAATAAATTAATGCCGAATATACGTCACATCTGTTCATACTGAATAAAATATATCAATAAAGAGCCAAGGACAATTAATCAACGAGTGGTCTGATTGTGGTGGTTTTTAGTCTCTCTGTGGTGGTTTTAGTCTCTTTTTGGTGGTTTAGCTCTCTGTGGTGGTTGAACTCTACAAACTAATATATATTGAACCGATTGATTGTGGTCTTGAAGGATCTGCCGGGTCCAGTCTGATGTGGTTTACCTGCTTAAGTAAATCATGAATCCCCAGGCATCCTGGACTCAGCTCAGACTCTGAAACTCACCACAGTTTGTCCTGAACCAGATTCACCTGGAGCGCTCTGCCTCGCGACCGCACTCGAACGTGTTCCTGGAGCGAGCGAGCAGTGGTGGGGGGCGCCGAGTGGCAGCTCCGTGAGGAAGGCCTCATCATCAGAGTTGACCTCAGAAGTCAAAGGTCACATCCCCCTCCAGTGACCAGAGTCTGAGGTCGAGGTACACAGGGGTTCACATTTACCTTGAGAGGCTTCGATGACCGTACAGAAGGGCTGGAATATCCAGGTGGTGGTCATGCCCCCTGGTAGGACCCATCCCCACAGAAGCCCCTCCAAAGCCAGTGATGCGGGTTAACCATTGACCCTTCAGTGCAGGATGCCACGCTGTCTGGCACAAACTGTTGTTGCCACATTTGGTCTAAACCTGTACTGTATAGTGATGTATTGTGAACATCATTGATTGTATAAGACCCTGCCCCCTGATCGTCGCCTGTCTCCTTGACATCAGAGGAGCTTTGATTGGTCCTCGTTGGCCACCATATCTGATCCAGATTGATGTGAACAGGTAACGAGATTCTCCTTCCAGTCTGCTGAACATTTAACACACTGAACACCTGGACGGGAGTGTGCCCCGGTGATAACACATCAGCATGGGAGACAGGCTCATGGCATGATGATGATGATGATGATAATGAACAGGACATGGCGAGGATCTCCATCATGTATGTTGGTTGACGGCTCCGCCGATGGAGAGAATCACTCAGTCTCTCTTATACACATTATCCACATCCCAACAGCCACAACAGGAATGAAGACACTCATGGCACTTCTGTCTTTGAAAACTTAAAAAAATAGAAGTTTTGGCAAGGATCTGACAAAAGTCTGAAAACTTTATAATTCAATTAAAAAGTTTAACAACGTTCCTTCTACCTTCACAAGGAGTCTCCTTCAATACAACTTATCTTTCCACATCCCTCTCTCAAGTGAATCATTGACACGGAGACTACGGTGTATCAGTTAAGACTCTGACAGCTATGAATTAAATTATAAAGTTAAATCTAAATCTAAAATACCTGAGAACAAAAACTTCTCGAACAACCATCAAAAACGCTAAAAAGAATAGTATCTGAAAAGCATTCCTCACCATGTGGGATGAAAAAGTTTAGGAAAGTCTTGTAGAACTGACATTTCATTTTTGTAAAGAATCCTAAATTCCCCAGATTTAAGAACATTAATCTGTGCACGAACTTTGTTTCAAGCTTATGAAAGCTGCAAGTTGATATTTCAGCTTTTATTTTAATGGAAAGGTTTGTTTCTAGTTATCGTGAGTTAAAAGATGACTCTTCTGTTAGTTATGAACCACGACGGCACAGCCCAATATTTCATCTTATATCCTCAAAGTCTTCTCTAGTGCTCAGAAAAGAATTATGATCAAGAATATAAAAATGGGTAGACATTTGTTATATTCAATATTTTTGTTTGTCGTTTACATCAAAAGTGACTTTCAGCAGGTATTTATGTGAAGGTTGAACTCTCAACTTTCCTTGTCATTTATTTAAATGAAACAGACTAATATTTCTGAGTTCTTCTCTCATTGTTTACGATTTATGAAATCTTTTCAGTTTTAATGTCGGTAACTGGAAACCAAGGAAAACACAGAATTTCCTCTTTCTGAGTTGGAAAAGTTCTGATAGTGCTTTTGCTTGATTTTTAATTTTGAAGGTAAGCCTTCGCTATAGTTTTCGCACAGTCTCTAATGTTTCGGTGTTTTATTTTGAAGGTATGGCCCCACTTGGTTTCCGTTAATGTTGTCAATTACTTATTCGTACCTCCTCTATGGAGCTCTGTCGCGCAGCTCGGAAGAACAAACCCGGCCACTGCCCCTCATCCTCGGTGAATAGACAGTTGGAATCCTGCGGAGTTTCGTACCG